CTCACGGAGCAAAAAATACATTTAGGAAATTCAGCAGAATCAAATTTTGCCAGAAACTGTGCTTTGGTTACTCTGGATAACTCCCAGACCTCTCTAACAACAGTTTTCATTCAAACCACTTCTCTTTTTTCTTTTTTTCTTAACTTGTAAAAATGTAATAATGAGGTGTGTGGACTTTACAGCAACCAGGATATTCATTCATTCATTTCTGTAGCCGCTTATCCTGTTAGGGGTCATGGGGGGCTGGAGCCTATCCCAGCTGACATTGGGTGAGAGTTGGGGTACACTCTGGACAGGTCACCAGACTATCACAAGGCTGACACATAGAGACAGACAGCCATTCACACTCATATTCACACCAATTTAGAGTCACTAATTAACCTGCATGTCTTTGGACTGTGGAGAAAACCCACGCTGACACGGGGTAACATGCAAACTCTGCACAGAAGGGCTCCCCCATCCCGGGGTTAGAACCTCCACCCCAGGGTTTGAATAGGAACCCTCTTGCTATGTGGCGACAACAATGCTATCGACTGCACCACCGTGCTTCCTGCAGCCAGGATATTGGTCCTGGAAATACATTTTGATGTTGGTTCTTTGGTAACATTTCAGTGCAATGAGTCCCACAAGCAACATTCTGTTCCCCTTCATTTTACTGAGATGATATCTCATATCTTATAAAACATTGCATGACTACGATCCATTATAACTTTCTTCACCAACTCTACATAACACCACAGAGAGAGACCTGACTTATCTGACAAATGTTTTTGATGTGGTTTTAGAGGAAGGCTTGTTTCTGCACTGCACCTGGTCATGTACAAAGGTCAATACATTGTGGCATGGCTTTAGTGAAGTCAGGACAAAACTTGTAGGATTTGCTTTTCTATTCTATCCACAAATTTTCCTTTTGGGGAACTTTACAACCATTAGTGCTTCTTTATGGAACCTACAAAAGAGGTTTTTGGAAACAGATTTGAGCATTACCAGGAGGTGCATAGCGGTGACATGGAAGTCTGATTCCTATCTTCCCATAGCCAGGTGCTTTTCGGAAATGAGCAGCTGCATTCCACTTAAAAAGATCACGTATACTCTAAGAAATGAACACAACACCTTTCTGAAGATTTGGCAGGCCCTAACCCACATGAGAGAAAAGTATATTATTTTGTTATTTAGGTGAACCATCCCCTTGATGCTCTCAGTGTAACATGAATGTGTCAACACATACAGTTCTGCCAGTATTTAGCACCTGTTTGGAGCACCCTCCCTTTAACCGCTAACACTTGTGTTGTATTACAATCCAGTGGAACATTATCCTTCATTACAAGCTCCTCTGACACCGTGAACAAAAGAGCAGTAGACTCATCTGACTAATGACGCTATCTCCTGACTGTCAGTGAGCTCTAATGGTTTCCTCTGTTGTCCACGGCTAAAGCTGATGAACTTGTTATGTACATTTTTCACAGCGGAGCCAACAACGCTTTGGCACTATCATGGTTAACTCAGAAATATATTTAACTGGTCCCATAGTAGCCATTAGAGTGTACTGTACGTTTGGCCGAGATGCACTGTGGGTGTTGTGTTTTCAAACATTGTTTATGCATTAGGGTTTTGAGTCTGATTCTTTAGTACAACTGCATCATCTGTGGCTTGGAAACTAAAGTAATAAGTAGGAGAAACAGAAGTAATGGCTGTGGAAAGTGTTGACTCACTCTACTGCATTTCTAGGTTTACCCAAAAACGAGGAAGCTTAAAATAAAATTCAACCTGGAGCTCATTTTAATTTAAGATCCTTTTTGTTGTATGAAAATATTGATACAGCGAGTAACCGCTTTCATACCAAAGTTACTGGCTGCAGATTTTTACTATCATAATGTTACCATGGTGATATGTTCAACATCCAATAGATCAAAATTTCAAGCACAGGGGCGTAAACATCTTCATGATTTCAAGTTTCTTTCTGCCCACAGAGCAGAAGTGTAGATCTAAACACGTCTAACAGAGAAACCCCAGCTGTCAAACTGCATTCATCACCCGCTCTGAGCTCGACTGGTGTATCACACAGAATCACACTATCGTTTATAGAGATAATGAGCTGCATGAGAAAATAAAGGAGACTTGGCCGGCCCAGTTTTTACCCTCTAGTTGTTGAACCAGGCTGCGCTGACTCACAGCTTCGGAGACAGGCAGAGGAAGGGCTGTGAAATGTGAGAGAGCAGGGGACGGATCAGATATCGACCACACACATTAGTTAAGCAAGACACATCATCTCTTCTCGTGTTCTCGAACTTCTTCTCTGGATATTTGCCACCTTTTAATCATACTGCCTTTTCATTGTCTTCCCTCTCTCAGCCATCATGTACTTTAGCTCTTGACTTTGTTTCTTATCCTTCCATGTTGTAACACTCATCTTTCATCCATCTATCTTCCATCCCTCACTGTCCGTCTCACCTTTCTTTTATTCTTATACTGTAGGCAGTGTACTTTACTTTAGGTACAGATACTCCATATAATGCCCGTTCCTGTCATTCGATAACATCAGATTCTTTTCATCCTTTACATGTCACAAACTTAAATCCCCAGAGCCCCGTTGCTCTCTTGTTCGTCTCCCTCTTTTACACAAAAGTGAAAGAAAACAATGATTCATTTCTGTTACGTAACTTATTTTTTATGAATGTTACGTTTATGTAAAACCTGTGTGGCTTAATGTTTGAAACCCGAGTTTTTGTCTTCAGCATAGGCTGGTTGTTAAAGGGACAGTTCACCCCAAAATCAAAAATACATATTGTAATGGACTGGGTGACGTGATGTTTACTGTATGGATTCTGTCACTGTAAGAGTGTGTCATGTTCACCTACAGTAAAAGGGTTTTCCGTAATGTAAGTAAACGTGTTACTCCCAGAGAAATTGTGTGTTTTAAGATGCTGTGAAGCCTGTCAATCGATAGTAGCACCTATGGCAGTGATCTGTGTGAGATACCCACCTGTAATTGGCGCATGTTTGAGGAGGGTGGGTTGTTGTTATTCCTGCTAGTTCATGGGGGAGTTGTTGAAGAATCCGCTAATGCAGGAAACACCTTGTAAAGCAGACAGGTTTGTTGCTTTGGTGTTGGCTATGGCCCACAATAGCCTGTGTTAAGTTAATGAATAAAAAGCCAGCGAAACAAGTTCATGCCTGGTAGTCTCATTGTCAAGGGATGCTACAATATTTTTCCTCCTACCTGTAATGCTGTTTTTCAATCTAGATTTTTTGGTGTGAGCTGCGGTGTTGGAAATGTCAGCCACAGAGATGTCTGCCTTCTCTCAAGTGTAATGGAACTAGATGGCATTCAGCATGTGGTGCTCAAAAATGCCAAAAACATACATTTGAAAAACTCAACAGCAATGTCTCTTTCCAGGAATCATGACCCAGTTTCTCAAGACAATCCACAGACCTTGTTGAGAGCAGTATAAAGTAGGAACTATTTTCCTCCAGCTGAACTACACTGCCGATTGTATCACTGTGCAGAAGGAAGCATGCATCAACTGCTAGCTCACCTAGCACCACTGAGCTAGCTAATTCTACAACTTAGCCGAGGACGCCATTGACGTTTACATCTCATGCCGTCACAAGCACAAGCCTTTTCTCCATGAGTACATTCATGCTTCCTTCTGCACGGCAATACAGTTAGTGGGTATAGTTCAGTAGAAAGAAAGTAGTTCCTCCATGAAACTGCTCACTACAAGGTCTGTGGATTATCTTGAGTAACCGGGTCATGATTTCTGGAAAGAGACATTGCTGTTGAGTTTTTCAAATGTATGTTTTTTGGCCCTTTGAGCACCACATGCCAAGTGCCATCTAGTTCTATTACACTGGAGAGAAAGCAGACATCTCTACAACCAACATGGCAGCTCGCACCAAACATCTAGACTGATAAATAGCACCACAGGTAAATGATGTGTTTTTGTTTATTTTGGGGAAACTGTCCCTTAAAAGCAGTCAACTGACCTTTCGCTAAGCCCCGCCCCTTTGTGATGGGCCGACAAGCTGTCACAGTAAGCATGGAGCCCACACTGTAACTAACTGCACTCCCTGAAGAAATATTTTCATATTTTTGTTGGGAAAATGAAAGAGTGATTCCAGAGAGCAGCAGACAGAGGGGTCTACAGTCTGTGTTTGAAGGATATATCCAGGATGTCAAACTGACTCAGCAGCAACAACAGGTTAAAAACGCAAAGATAGTTAGAAGCTAAAGCCGAACTATAGGCTACAGATCACAGTGTAAAAGTGAACCACCACATCACTGCTGATCGACACACAAGACAATGAATATAAAGGGAAACTTTGGTGATATTGAACCAGTTGTGTGGCATAACAGTGTGTGCAGATGAACGGTGTTTGGCTTCACCCCCGTGCCGCTGCCAGCACCCAGACCTCTGCTGCTGGACAGGCAGGGATCTCCGGGGAGGTCAAACAATGTTCATCTGCGCACAATATAATGACACACAGTTGGTTGAATATCAGTAAAGTTTCCCTGCTTCCCTTCACTGGTTCCTGTACAGCAGGGTCGGTCTTTTTTTTCACTGTTATAATCATTAACAGCAAAAGCAGTAACTTCTTCAGCAGCACCAGTCATCAGTAGCTAGCTAGCTAACCCTACACTTTTCAGGGTTTGATTTTGGTTTTGGAACAGGGAAGAAACGTATATCTTTTTCCAACCTCTCCAGGTAAAGAGTATCATTAATACACGACGTGACCCAGGCACAACATTTAACTCCAAATCCACAAAACCAACCTGAAAATGAAGGAAATCTGAAAAGACTGCATTAGAGTCAATGGAGCACAGCTGTGTTGTTGTCGGACCCTGGTCTGAACCGCCCTGATGCTACGCTATGATTGGCCAGTCTGCATCCTGGGGTGGGACTTAGCAAAGGGTCAATGCTAAGCTCATCCATAAATGACTGAAACACTATGTCCTGTGTGTGAGTAATTACATACACACTACAATGTGTAGAATACATTTATTAATAATCATATGAGACAATTTAAATGTGAATACCGTATAAAAATAAAGCTGTAGTTATGTTTCTTAAGTGAGAAAGTCTTATTTCACTAACACAGCAATTTATCTGAGAGGAGGACGTGACATTAGCAGTGAATGAACAACGACTCTTCTGAATATGACAATGAAAGGTTTTGATATTTTCTCACTTCATTAATTAAAAACAAAAACAGGAAACAATGCCATCAAATGATACTAAAATTGTGGAACATTGTAAACGTTAAGATACAGAGGTGGGTTTACTGTGAACGAAAAGCCTTTAAAGGTGTCCTGTGGAGTTTTTGAACACTAGTAGTGCTGTAGAGCAAAGAAGCTGAGTGATACAAAAGTAAAGGCAAAGAAGAAGATTGCAGGCTAATGAACATGTATGTAAATAATGCATGATTTAAAAATATTCTTTTTAAAAATCAGCTTGGCAAATGTTTTATGTGGAAGAAAACGTATTAAACTCTTTTGTTCGAACTATAGGATACACAAAATGTCTTTTTTGGTGCGAATCACTGAATGCACACGTGACTTTTGTTTGTGTCCTCCACAGGGCACCTATAAAAGATCATTTCACAGTTTAAACCACTCACTCTTTTACTGCATTTATATGGAAATAAATCATAAACCTCTTCGATTAAAACCTTTGGCACACTCTGAGATATCACATTACAGTAATAAATAACATGTATTCCTTTTATAAAAAACAAAATAAATATCAATAAGTTAATAAATTCAAGATTTCATAAATACATTTCATATGCGTTTAACTTTTTCCGTGTAACATGTGTGCTATACAGTAGACAGAGTGAGTCTGCTGAACCATCTGTTGTGTCTGATTGATTTCAGTCCTTCATGTTGAGTATCCAGGGAAACGTTTAAACTCACACTGAACACATTAACGGCGTCAGGTGTAAACTGTAAAGGAAATTGGATGTGATTGAGCCATGAAGGAGGAGGAGGAGGAGAGGATCATTTCTAAAAACTGCAGTGACGCCACCTCGTCGCCATGTTTACTCCGTTACTGTTGAACTCATGTCATAAACGGCCACACGACGCCTGAAAGTTTCCTCACAGTGAGTAAGATCGAAAAAAAAACAAACACTCAACATAATTCTTCGAAGTGGGAGTCAACGTAAAACTACATAAATCCTGACACCAGCTCGCACTCCCTACACGCAACCACACTTCCTGGCGGAGTGCTTCCTCACGGTATGGTAGACGAGGTTGTCATCCAGAAACGAGAGATCATCGTCAAACGCTATTGGCCGACAGCAAGCCTGAGGGGGCGTGTCTTTGTGAGGAAGATTCCTGTTGTGAGCCAGGTTGTAAAGGATTTTGTCATAGTTGGTCTCAGACTTCCTGCAGGGTCCGGAGCAGTACCTGAATATCATCTCCTCGCTGGAGCGGTAGCCCAAACCGAGGTCCGTCACATTGAGTTGAATCTGTTTGAGCACGCAGCCCTGTCCTCGTCCATTACCTCTTCCTCCTCTGACCTTCCTACCCGTCTCCCCTCCTCTTGCTATTCCTCCTCCACTCTGCTGGCTCGCCCCCTTCTTCCTCTCCCTTCTGTTTCGAGTTCTGCTGCTCAAGTCTTCTTTGGAGGGGGAGGAGGTGGTGTAGGACGAGGTAGATGTGGACACGGTGGATGAGGAGGAGCGACGTATTCTGCCGATGGTCACTTTGATGAAGTCCACCACGTCTTCAAACTCATTTGGAGCGGGCTCCTCCATGGTGTCTGAAACGCATCAAGAGAAATGGCATTCTTACAAGGGCGTGTCACATTGGACAGCACATATTGTTTCACTTTAACTCATCACTCTATTGAACAGATGGAGCGTTGTGTCAGAAACTACACATGCAAAAGCGGAAATGGTACACATTGTGTTTTTTTTTACTGCAGAGGAATTCCATTTGAACTGATTCATCCAAGTTACAAATGGATCCCATTCTTATTTCTGCACCAGAGTGTTGTATATTTGGGGGGACAAGCTGCATTATAGATACAGCAGCCTCCTTGTAGCCTCGTGGCACATACTGCTAGAGCTAAAGTAGTGGATTGACAGACAACTATTGTCATTTTTTATAGCAAAAAATCCAACACTCATTAGTTCTAGCTAAATAAAGGATAAATTAAATAAAAAACAATAGATTATAACATTTTATAAACTCAAAAAATATTAGAAAATAATAATTTCAATCCTTTTTTAGTTGCCAACTCATTCAATTCTGTTCCAAACTCATTAACATGTCATATGTGGGTGTTGCACACTGTGGGAAAGGTATGAAGATATCAAAATCAGCTCTAAATGAGGCCAGCCTAACTGATAAGCAGGTTAGAGGCCAAATTAAAGCACTATTGCACATGTTTCAATGCACTATAAAATCCTTTGACATATGCTTTTAATATCAAAATTTAGTGCACACATTGTATTTTTCCTTAAGTGAAAATATGCCTCTTCCACATGTTTTCAATTTGGCAAAATCTTGAAGCACTTTTTCCGTTAGACACAGATAACAATACCATTATTTGTTTTAGAAATAAATAAATAATCCAAGACTCAGCAAGCCTGCTGGGTGTAAATGACTTATTGGGGTGTTTTTGGCACTTTGGACACTCCATACAAAAACCACAGGCTCTTACATTTTTCTCCTCCAGCCAGCGTCTCTTCCCAGTCCGCTGTATCCCCCTCAGCGCGGCTGATGTCCGGGGAAGTGACAGACAGGCGGATCTGAACCGGCGGGAGCTCCAGGGGAGTCTCGGCGGCGCGCCCTCTCCTCTTGGCGGACGTGGACTGCGTTCGGCTCCGGAGCAGCCGGCTGGCGTGCACGGCGCTCAGCAGTATCAAACAAGTGGTCAGGCTATCCCATAACTTCATTGTCCACTTCAGTCCGACAGAAGGACATGGCGCGATGAAAAATCAACAGGTATCATCTGGCAAACGCGATTAACAGCATGTTGGAGACGCTCAATAGTTGGAGAGGAAAAGGTGGGGCGCGCTCATCAGCTCGGGTTCCTGCCACTGGAAAATGGTGAGGATCCGTGTGTTATTGCCTGCGCACTGTAAACTGTACGATATCACTTGTGCCAGCTGGCAGACGCCGTGCAGCGTGGCGCAACATCCAAGGAGGCGCAAAACCAAAAGGCAGAAGCGCAAAATGCAAAGAGTGCGCTCTGAAGTTGTTTGCAAATCCAACGACGCTTTGAAGCCAGAAATTCCTCCCAGTATGCAATCTATAGGTTTTCATTCAGTGCGCACGGCTCCTATTGCACAATGCAGTGCCTCCTGTCCATCCCCACTCACCATCAATCCTGACTGAGGAGAAGGAGAGGTCTAACAGGAGAGATGGGAAGTGGTGGTGACGTCTGATGGACCATCCTCTGCCTCTTCCTGTCTCCACCCATGCAGACTACACAGAGGGATGGGGTCCAAATTCATGACTGAACTCCAGGTTCCAGAAGTTGGTGAGGGTAGAGAAGCTGTGTTATGAAAGAGGCTCAGTCTGTGTACTCAGATGGCTGAGAGCGAGAGCGAAGTTTCACACTTTCCGCTAACACTACTCCACAATCCACATCCTGCTTTTTAGTGTTTGGTTGATATTGGATGGGAAATGTGTTTCTAATCAGCCAGTCAAAACAGACTGAGTAGATTGTGTTGCTACTTATAACCACAGTGGGATAGAAATCACACTGTTTTGCAGTTGATGAGCAGATGACATCTAACATCAGGGAAGTCGGAAGTGATATCCATTACAGCAACTGGGGGGTTAACTTTGGGAAATGTGCCAGAAGAAAACATTATTTTGGTTTGGTTTTGCATAATCTGAGTTATATAGAGTCATTTTAGTTTATTCCTGTGCACAAATGTTCAACATGTAAAGTGCAACTGACTCAAAATGTGCAAAAGAACATCTCAAAGACATGTTAATGGTGTTGAAATAAGTGGAATTGGCTCAATAATTACTGAGCGATAACTGACTTGTACTATGATATACTGTTGCTGGGACACACAACAAACTGTACATGGTTCATCTTACTGTGTGTGTTTTGTGAGTGATCCTGTTAAACAAATTAAACACCTGCAAACTGCATTTTAAAGACCGCTCATCAATATGAAACCTAGCACTTTACTATGACTGAAGCTGCAGATTAAATCACATTGTGAAAGAATGTCAGTGGGACTGTAAAGTAAATTTCATTGTGTCAAATTACATTGTTATCCATCTCTGTCTCTTATAATTTGTATTTGAGAACACAACAAAGCAGATGTGTGTGTGTGTGTGTGTGTGTGTGTGTGTGTGTGTTCAATGATTAAAACAAGAGCAAAGTGATCTGAGGAGTTTATATGCCTAATACTGCACACTGGACTAGCCACTGACATAACTTTGTTCAGGTGTCCACTTAGTTTTGGCTTAAGTTAGCTATTGATACCAAATCAAGTAAAAATCATTAAATGCTACAGTATTTTTCAAACTTCTACTGAAAAAGCTGCATATTTCGCAGCCTTTATGAGCAGGAGAACATCATGAAATAGTGTTCAACAAGGTTTTCAATCGCATAGAAATCAAATTTATATTGTCTGCTCTGGTAAATGCACTTTCCTAAATAACAGGTGATGCTGAGCGCACATCGTTATAGGAGTTAGAGAAAATGTTGTCCCAACTGGCGCCCATGTGCATGGACATCCATGTTTCATTTCAGATCTCCTAAAAATGAGTACATAAAGAAGTTGCTGCTTTAGTTTGTTGTATAAACTTGGAGACATGCACAGGTGAGTTCTCACTTACTACCTATTGCCTGTAAATATAAGATGTCTAGTTAGGTTGGCTCAACTGATTTCATATGCTGGTCCAAATATTGTTCTTATCTTAAAGCTACCTGACCTACCTACCATTTTTTTGCCACATCAGCTGGTTTACTATGAGTCTTAAAGGGACAGTCACATATTTTTACTCTTACATGTAATGCTATTTATCAGTCTAGATTGTTTTAGTGTGACTTTGAGAGTGTTGGAGATCTCAGCTGTAGAGATGTCTGCCTTCTCTCCAATATAATGGAACTAGATGGCACTTGGCTTGTGGTGCTCAAAGCACCAAAACAAAAAAACCCACCGAAACTCAACAGCAATGTGTCTTTCCAGAAATCAGTACCCCCATCTACAGACCTTGGAAGCATACATCTACTCATGGATGAGAGGCTTCTGACAGTGTAAGATGTAAACATTAATGGCGTCCTCCTCGGCTGAGCTTTAATGTTAGCTAGCTCAGTGGTGCTAGGTCAGCTAGCAGTATCAAACTATTAGTTAGAATATTATTGTTGCTATTTGTTTTTGTTGGTAGCTGATGGACAATGCATGCTTCTGTCTGTGCAGCTGGCAATACGATTAGCAGATGTAGTTCAGTAGAAAGAAAAGAGTTCCTATGTGAAACTGCTCACAACAAGGTCTGTGGATTATCTTGAGTACCCAGGTCATGATTTCTGGAGAAAGACATTGCTGTTGAGTTTTTCAAATGTATTTTTTGGTTCTTTGAGCACCACAAGTTCAATTCCATCTAGTTCCATTATATTCGGGAGAAGGCAGGCATCTCTATGGCCGATATCTCCAACACTTGGCAACACACAGCAAAACAATTTAGACTGATAAATAGCACCACAGGTAAGAGGAAAAATATGTATTTTTGATATGGGGGTGACCTGTTCCTTTAAATGGCTTAGGTCATTAAGGCAAAGAAGGTTAATTTAGTGCAACAGCACCTTTCAAACAAAACAAAGACATGCACTAGAACAGTGGGTCCCAATTGGTCCACCACGGGGCCCAGGTTGCTCCATAGTCATTAGTTCAAGGTCTGTGATGTTTAATATATTCAGAGTCATACTTGCATTTGGCCATGTCACTGAGCTAGTTTGCTGTCTCTGTCAAGTCTCTGTTAAGTAAATGTCCATTAGTCATTCACTCTGCAGCAGGAAGCGCCATTTCTGTGCCAGAAATTTACTGTACTTCAAAATAAAGTGTGTTTTTTACAAACTTGACACAAGCACAAGTCACTTGCTGTCCATTGAGAATGGATGCGCGACCCAAAAGTTGGTAACCACTGCAATAGGACATTTGAAAACACAACAAAGTCAAAATGATGACTTGACCCCTCGGGCCCTGCAGGTCTGTTTGGTAATCCATTTATGTCTGAATGCCTTCAGTAGACCGGGAGACATTTTAAAATTGTTTTGTCTGGCATATATATACATTATGTCAGCTAATGATCGTCCATGCAATTATTCAAGTGGTAAAAAAAATAGATTAAAGGAGATGAAAAGGGGATATGCCTGCAGACAAATTGAGTGAAAGAGGAGAGAAGGAAAGCCAAACAGAGTACAGATGGAGAGAAACAAAAGAGAGAAAACTGAATACAGAGGAACAGAAACATTGTTGAGGGATTTTGCTTCCTCCACCCGCTGTATCTGTCTCTATAAACAAGGCCGAACGTGTCAAGTATTCTCCGTCCAAGATAGTCAGACGTTGTTTATTTCCCTTTAGTCAACACCACAGTAAAACTGGCTGCACTCACACAGCTGTAATGTTTTAAGACTTTTTGTTCAGGCTAAGCAGAACAAATAGTATATATCTACAGTAATGTATACCACATGATCATATTTGATTCAAAGTCCAGATGGAACAGGGTCCAGTGCAGTTATTTGGGGATAACCAAGATGACTTCAGCTCAAGTGCTAAGACACAATGAATCCCTGCAAACATTTGTTCTTAAGAGGCAGCCATATCCCTTACTGTCTCTCTTCTTCTGCAGTGATTACTGTGGATAAAATGTCCCGCTATTCTAGTGCACATGAACTTTTTCTACAGCAAAATCTTTCCAAGAAGAAGAGAAATATTTGCTCTCCAGCAGAACTAAATAAATCTGTTTCCTCTGAAGTAGTTTAACTTTACAAGCTTGATGTGAAATACACATTGTTTATCCGCATGCGCGTGTACAGTATATGTTAATGTATAAACACACATGTACGTCCACGCACCCTGGAAGCGTAGTGTTTCGTGATGAATCATGTTTGTGTCAGTGCATGTTTAGCCACATTGTATTGTAATCACTTGACTACACTGAGCATGCAAAAACCATGTGAGCATCCAAATATGTTGTAGCTGTAAAGTCATACAGAATAACAGTTGTCTTCAGCTTGAGGTTTTTAGAAGTCAGACTACTAATCACTCAGACGAGGTTTCCCTTTCCACTGACCCATTCACTTAACTCGATGGAAATACCTCATCCTCAAGCAATTACACTCATGCAGGCAGCAAATACACCAAACAGATGTTAATGCCCCTTCTTGTAAAGCATGAGGGCTAATTGGGGGCCGATCTGCAATTGAATCTGTCAGCCATTTTTGGGGCTCAGTTTGACTTGCATGAAACTAGGCTAATTGCACAGGTCATTTCACCCGTCATTATCGGCCAACATGAAACTGTGGCCCCGGAGTGGCTTATGGGAGGGAGGAGCTGACAGCTGGAATGGACGTCTGATTTGGGACACTGCTGCCGGTGTAGTAATTAGCAGGGAAAAGAATCTCCTGACTCTTCACACTGACAGGGAGAGTGGGGAGATAGGTGATAATGTGTGCTGTAGCCCTGTTTTCCACATTTACAGGTTTTAATGTCATACTTTGAGAGGAGGAGAGAAGAGAGCTAGAAGCATGGCTCTGGATGGCAGTGTTGGTCAGTTGGTCCAGACTGAAATATCTAAACAATTATTTGATGGATTGTCATGAAATTTAGTGCAGCCATTCATTGTCCCCAGAGGATGAATCCTAATGACTTTGGTGATATCATGACTTTTACTCAAGCGCCACCAGCAGGTCAACGTTTTCACTTTTCACTCATCGCAGACCCTACACCGTAGCCTACGCTATGCACGTAGCCTACGCTGTTGCAAGCATTTATACTTGTGTGGTGGTGTGTCTCTGTCACTCTGCAGTTACATTTCCACAACACTAGTTGGCGACGGAGTTTCTGTGAAGTGCTGTCAGGTTTAGTTGATTCAAAACACCCATTAAACATGGCTTAATAGAGACAGTTTCAGACATATGTACACAAATCAGCTTCACTATAACTCGCAGTATTCACAGACAAAGCATTTGTCTTTTGCTGAACACATTTTCCCCACATATACAACATGCTAATGTTTTTAGCACAAGCCTATGGCATTTTACGTTGTATAAATTAGCCTAGCAAAGAGCAAAGATTTCCTCTTCTCATATGAATCCAGAATAAATCCCCAAACGATAAATCACACACTTAAAATGTTATATTGTGAAGGCTTTAGTGTCTTCACAATTTATTGTCTCTTATCTGTGAAATTAAAGTAAATAAAAGCACCGAGGGAAATGGTTTCAGCTTGTTGTTACATTTCTGG